TGCAAATGGAGATTAGATAGAGGAGGTCAGTAATGGAGGGATGTGGATGCAGGATAAGTGGATCAACTTATTCATGACGATAATTTCTCCCCCCTCCCTCTCTCGCTCTCACTCACTCTCCAAGCTCTAACTTAAGACTTCTTTGGTGGAAATGCTCCCATTCTTCTTGAAGAACGATGTACTGAAAGAGAAAAAGAGAGACTGTCAACCAAAGCCAGTTGTTCATTTTCTTTACTTGGTTTAAATTACCTTTGTCTGCTTAGCATCACTGTGTCTTTACAGTTTATTTTCCATTTCTAAACGGGGGCAATTAGCCGTTGCTCTAAGAACATTCACATCTGTAGTCCAACAAGGGTTCTTTGGAGGGATGCCAGCTTTTGGTTCCCTAAAGAACCTTACAATGGACAGCTCTTTAAAGAACTGTTTTTGTAAATAAGATGTGTGTGTATTGAGGATGCAGCATTTCTACAGTCGTATGCAAAACTTTGAACACCCCCAATCAAATGACATGTTTTATTCATTTTCTAAGTGAAAATAATCGCACATCCTCTACAGGGGACAAACTTAAATATGCAAATTCTGCACATGTATTGTTTCATTTTTCCCCAATATGTTAAATTCAGCAAAGAAACAGTAATAATGCATTAAAATGTGTATAAGCGTGTTCTCTGTAGAGGATGTACACACATGTACACAAATGTAAGCTGTTGCTCAGAGAAACTTAAAACTCTAGTTTCAAAATTATATCTGATTTGATACAAAAGAAAAAAGTGCAGGATGTGGGGTACATTTTAGCTTAAAATAATAGATTAAAGCTATAATCATCACATGCAGGGTGGGCTAATTCTCTAAAACTAAGAATCTTGTAGTTTCATTAAAAACCATCTTACAGCCAAATGTAAGTTTGCATTCTATACCCTGATAATGAAGCCTACTACTGTAATTTTCAAACCATTCATGCTCAGAAACTACATTTATCATGATAAGGAAAAATGCCACAGAACGTGTCCTGATTGGTCTAAAGTGAAACTGTGTAGTTATATCTTGGGTTAACATCAGTACCGATTAGAACTAATTGATTACATAGACCTTATATACTTTTATCCACAGTCGATGTTGGATTTTCTATCATTTGTTGAAGATCAGTAGTTCCATGTTACCAAAAGACTAAATTTAAATGAAAAAAGCCCACAGTTTAGCCGCATAGTTTGATATAATCAAATCAGAAAACCCACAGATCAACTGAAATGTATAATTTGATATATTGACATTAATAGGTTAATGAAATGCCTTAGTTATTACAGCAAAAACTGCACATATGTAGTTGAAAAGTATGTAATTATAAGCTTTGAGGTGAGTTTGACATTCTGAATGTACTCCTGCCGTGGCGTTTGAGCGTCTAATAACGTCTTCAGGATAGATCGAGCGGGCCTGTCTTAACTTGACACCAGTGACGAGGCTAAAGCTGCCTGATATAATAGCTTTTGTAGTAGATAAGCATAGCTGCTTAAGGCGATGAAGGCTCGGAAAAGCCGTCTCGAGCTGACCACAAGGAAGGGGGTCTGGGGGAGGGTTTGTACAGGAGCAAATCCAACCAAGGTCAGAGGTAGGGGTCAGGGGTCATGGGGCCAGGCCCCAAGTCCTGGGACACCAGCAGGATTATATGAGTGGAAAAAGAGCCTATTCAGCCAAGGATCGGAGCACAGTTCTCAAAGATCAGCTGCTGACTGCACGTATGCTCCCTTCTCTAATGTGTGAAAGCTTAAGGAGCAGTGAAGGCATGGCCTGCCTGGCAGCATGTTCTTGTCTGGAGCATATTCATCACTAATGAACTCAGACTGTCCCTGATATGCCACTCACACAGTATTATGTTGTTTTGTAATGTATTATAGAGTCTCTGTGTATAACAAAACCTCATATCTCTGAAATGGTAACTTTAATGGAGAAGGGAAAAAGTGTTCTGAACGTTAATGTAAGTTAATGTGATGAGATTTTATTGCAAGTTATTTTATTGATCCATTCATCCTGAAGCGTTTATGTACTTTAAATGTTTTTAGTTAGTGTAAAAAATAATGAATATGACTGTGAGCATATAAATCAAACTGATAAGTCATATTTATCCTGTGCAAATGGCATTTAATTTTTTTTTCCAGTCAAAATGTTCATTAAGGAAAAGTTATTCATTTTTCACTCATTTTACAGAAAACAGAAAGTTACAAGGAAGGCTTAAACTGAATTCAATATCAAAATGTTCAGTATTTAATGTGTTTACAGCTTCCATTCTTTTTGTGAGACTTGCTTTTGGTTTTTCAAAGAAATCACCTCCACAGTTCAGTCTGAGAAACTGGTTGCATTTTCTTTCTACCTCTTATAATCCAAGTATCCCTGAAAGCATTCTATAAGGTCTGGGCTCTGTCCTGTTTCAGTGGTCTAGTACAAATTTTGAAGTTCTATTGCAAATATACTTAGCTTTTTTATGTTCTTTTCTTAGTAATGGCTCCTTGACAGTTACACATCCTTTCAGACCCATAGTGTTGAGTGGAAGGATGAACAGAAACACCTGGGTATTGTTTTTTTTCAAATTTAAAGCAAGCTTTATGTTTTGGTGGTCTACCAGATCTTGCACGGTTGTTAGAAAACTCCAGCTGCCCTTTACATTGTGCAGAAGTTCTTGATGAGTGGACTAATAGAAATGGTCCGTAATTACTTGGAATATAATCTTTTCACCTGAACATCCATTAGGAACGTGTTTCTTTGTCCTGTAAAGTTGTGTAAAGTACGCAGGTTTTGTTCTGAGAGTGATGATATAGAACTCCTTGCATTATATATACAGTATGTATACATAATTCATAACATCATTTAAAGTTTCATCAGTTTAAATAGGCCTTCGGTTTGCACAGTTGAATAAGCATTACATTCTCCAATAACGTGATGTTAGTGTTGGCAATGAATAGTATATCACATCTCTCAGTTACTTCACTAAATTGGTGTGATCAAACGCTAACAAAGGGTCACTGTGTGCTTCTGTGATCTATAATAAGCCATACAAGCCTCAGTGTTCTTCTTCAAACATAATTCCACCAGGGTTTTTTTCATTTGGCGGTCAAAGTGATTCCTGAAACTCTAGGAAATTCTATTAACTCCTGTTCATTGTGTCTGTCTAAATACTATAATAGATGAAAACCACAGCTGTTGGGCACTCAGCTGTCACACTGTGTTTATGGATTCCATAACTGTGAGCATGCTCTGTAACAGGAACATGTCTTGTTCAAGATGAGGGCGATTTAATAACACATATACATACACTCTTAAAAAAAAGTCTTGGCTGAATTCTCATAAAAGCCTTTAAATACTATAGAACATTTACATTATGTAAAGGTTCTTTAAACTCTGAAAAGGTTCTTCACACTCACATGTCACATTTGCAGAAATAAATCATCCAAAGAAAGGTTATTTAATTAAATAAAATTGGTTCTTAATGGCGTTGTTCCAACCCTTTTTGACACCTTCATTTTTAAGAGGGTATATTGCTTGAATTGCTCTATACTGTAGACCTGTAGCTGGTGCAGTGATACATCTGCTTGGCTGAAATTCCACTGCTTCCTCCTGCGGCCCCTGCCTTCTAAGTCCGATGATAATAGTACAGTATTATAATTTCGCTCTCATCTTGCTCTTCCCTGGTAAAATGGGGATTAAGTGGAGATTATGGCAGTGCCTTTTTCTTTATCCCTGCCTAAGCCAGCAGAGCATGCAGCTCAAAGGTGACGGTGCACTGTGTGATCTCCTCTCCTACCAACGTGAAACTTTACCGAGGCCCGCTTTATAGAAAGACTCACCACTGCTGTGAACCATTCGTTTTCATTTTCAACCTGTCAGCGAAGCAGCCGCTGAGTACAAATAGCTGTGAAGAATCGCAGGGCAGAGATATGCAACAGGTAGGAAAGATAGTGAAGCCAGTGCTGCTTTATGAAGCATGTAGTGAGCATGGAAAAAAAAAGAAATTAAATTCATTCCATCTGAAGCTGCTTATGAGCTGCACCGTGGTGAGCTGAGGAGAAACGGGCTGAGCTTAATTTCTCCTGAAAATACATCAGATACAAAACAGATCTACAGTGTTCTTAGCAAGGCCAGAAGATGAGGCTTTCGTTTTATTCTGTTTTCTTTAAATGTGCATGAACAACAGAACTGCTACTTCAATGTGTAGGGACAATTTGTCTAATAGATTAACAGTTCAAATACTAGCAGAGACCAGTGGACTATTTCACCATGCAGGATTTCTCAGTTTAGTCACATAACTTGAGCCCAAAGTCAATCCTGTCTAATAAAAAAGTGATTCGTATTATGGAATCCTCAACCTTGGGCTTAAGTTATCTGGCTAATTGAGAAATCATGCTTTCTAAAATACCCCCAATATCGTTCATGATGAAAAGAATGAATTATTCTTATAATAATAATAATAATTATAGTAATAATTGTTATTATTATTATATTTTATTATTTAACACTAATATTAATAATAATAATGATGATGATTAATATTATTATTATTATTAATAATGTATTTTGTTGCTGTTATTGTTGGCAGAATCATAATGATTTTTCTTTTTCTTTTCATTATTGCTGTTATTATTGTTATCATTACTATTATTAGTAGTTGCAGTAGTAGTAGTCGTGGTAGAACAATCATCATTATAATATCAACATTTTTTTATTACTGTATCAGTTTTATCATCATCATATTAATAGTAACAGCAGCCATTTACCACAATATATTATTATATTAGGTATGATCATGTATAAGTAGTAGTAGTAGTAGTTTTAATAGTAGTAGTATCATTATGATTGTTATTATTAACTACTTCCCTCATTCACCCAGCAGAACCTCACTCTATTACCCAGCAGCCCCTCTAGGTGTCGCGCTCTCGCAGCGTCTCGCGGCTCGTTGGCTCGAGCGCGCGCCCTGACGTCACCGCAGCGTTGATTTGCTGAGGCGGCGGCGGAGCGGAGTTAGAGCGCGAGAGCGCGGCGCGCGACCTGCCTCACTATGATCTAGAGCCGGTCAGCACACACTCGGAGAGAGGGGAAAAAACCCGCGCGGAGAGCCAGGTGAGTGCACGCGGGGAGCCCGTGGGGCGCGCGGTCGCAACACACACAGACACATACACACACGCGCGCGCGCAAAGTCCTGTAGCGAAGACACGCACTTTTTTGTAAACGTTCTCTTTAAAGCCCGCCCGGGCTCGCGCTCCTCGGCGTGGATGAAAGGAGCCGCGTGCAGCAGAGTGCGAGCCTGAGCCGCGTGCTACGCTCTGCCGCGCTGTGCCGCGCTCTGCCCGGTTCTGAGGGCAGGGGAGAGTGTGGGTGTCTGAGAGCACCTGCTGGAGCTCCGGGCTCCGGGCTGCCTGTACCGGGCCACATGCAGGGATGTTGTGTTGACGTAAGCGGGTGCTCGAGCAAGGGGGACGAGCCTCCAGCTTCCACGAGCTCCACTCTCGCGCTCTCCAAACTGTTGCACCAGCACACTGTCTCTGTTGCCTGTAAGTTTGAAGCCAATTTGCTGGCGCTTTTGTGGCTGGTCAGTGATAATAATAATTCATTCAGGCATTGGGCCGCATGGTGATGTGATCCTACATAAAAGACATGTAAACACAGGCAACTGTGCTCGCTTCGCTAACTGATCCTCAGGCTAACTTACTGTCTGCATGCTGCAGGACTCTTAACTGCACTGCTAATGAAACGCTGTTGTGATAAACTACACACTTAAAAATATGGTTCTTCAGGTGTTCTTTAGTCAAGGCAGTGGCTCTGTTTAGAACCATGAGGTCTGTATCATGCTTCTTTGCATGGTGAAATGGTTCTTCAAATTGACTGAGGATGTGTCGGTTGTGGTTTTATACAGAACCTTTGAAAATGGTTCTATATAGAACCAAAAAGGCTTACAAGCTTGACATCGTAACAATAGAAGAACCCTTTTTGGTGCTATATAGAACCATTTACAAAGGTTTTATATAGAACCATACAGCACATTCATCAACATGAAGTACCGTTTCATGATCGAAGAACTATTTAAGCATGCAAATCGTTCTACAACCTAACCTATTATTAAAGAACCCTTGAAGAACCATCTTTTTTAGGTGTGCAGTAGCACTTTTCCTACCACAAGCTGCTGTTTCACTTGAGCAGATTCACGTGTGGCGAGTAAAACGGTCAATTCCAGTCATGTAGCTATCGATCAGCATGCACCTTTCCTGCGTTACCTAATTCTGCTAACGCAACAGAGCGGTCAGCGCTGGCAGCGCGTGCGTGCACGTGTTTACTGCCGCGTCGGTTATATTCTTTTTGTATTTTTTTAGGTTTGGTTTGTCGCTGGTTGCTTTTTTGGGTATATGCTGTGCAGCCTCCGGAGCGCACGGCACGGCAGCCTCCAGCGCGCGCTGCACGGGTAAACGAGCTTTCAGTCTCGCCGCCCTGTTGCTGGTGATCACGTCTTATCGATGCAGCCCCACCAGCAGCCCTAGACACACTGCTCGCTCCACATGTGCTCCAGTCTGCTGGATTCTGAACGGTGTGAAGGGCTTTGGAGCGCGTTACGCACGGGCGAGCTCCTTACGCGCGGTGCCGTTTGAGCTCACGGGCACGAGCCTCTCTCAGGTTTCGCAGACACGGCGTGTAAAGACGGCACAGGTAGGGCCCGCTGAGAAGCAGCGTTAACTTGAGACTCTCCTGCTTCGTTAAGAGGTGCCTTGATTGGAGACGCTGCATTTACGTATTCTGATGAATGTACGCTTGTTAAATAAGCTCTGCTTAGTGTTTGAGCTAAGGTGCATGATTAAATGTGCATAGGTGGCTGCAGTCTATATCCTTATAGGCTTAACATGTAAACAGTGATCAGGTTCTCACTGTCATTTCTGTGGCTTTTTTTCCTGAGCTAATTCTCCTGAAACGCGATTCTGCTGGAGCAGTTGTTGCCCCTTGCATTGCTTATTATAATGAGAAATCTTTGATTAATACACCACTAGATTGATTGCTGTTTTGAAGTAAACATGTTGCATTCTTTATTTAGTGGGTGCATGCATTACTGTACAGATATACACTATGCTCTGCATAAAACTGTTAATGTAATTTACCATTTTGCTTAAAATAATTAGCATATATTTATTTCAGTCTGGTGAGCCTGCTTGGCTCATCACATCAGATTCTAAAAAAATCACTTAAATGTCACTCCCACCTTAATTCATAGACATACACTGTTTTTTTTTTTTCAGAGCAGTCTCCTGTCAGATAAACATCATATTATTTGATAAAGCATCTTTATTATGTGCTCTTAGCACTGTGTGATCTTGAAATTGTATGGAATTTTAAAAGCAGCTTTAGGTGGGCATGTTGTTGCTGCACAGGCTTTGAGCTTTTGTGACATCCTCTGTTCCAACTGTTCCTGGCAACAGCTTGCCTCACCCTCCATGCTCCGCTCGCTATCCCACTCTGTGATGAGAATACTGAATAAGATGCCATTTCATTTCAGGAGGCTGTTGATGGGCTTTGTGAGGCAAGCTTGAACACACCGAAACAAAGACATGATTACAGGCAGGGTTTTCCCAGCACTGATGCTAAATTTTCATGCCTCTCATTGAGGCCACTTGTCATTTTAACATTTTGATAGACCTAGCTGGGAATTTTGGGCTCTACGCCTTTGCAAGACTGTGTTTGCAAACATGTTATTTTGGATGGCAATTTACAGTCGCTTGTTTTGCTCAGATGGTTTGAGATTTGGCTGTTGTTTTCATACAGTGCAAAATACCACCGTGGTCTCATGTTGGCTGAATGTTCTGGGCCCTGTTACTGGGTTTCATCTGAATTCAGTCGTGTTTTCTGCAACGTCTCTTAAGTAAAGAGATTTTGTTATAGCCCAGATTACAAAACTGTCTGGTTCACTGTAATTTAGATCAATGAAGAGCATCTTATACTCATTCTTGCATTTTATATTTAACCAAGGCTTCTCTTGTTCCATCTCTCTCTCTCTCCCTCTCTAGACTGACCTTATCTTGTTTACAAAGATAACTGAACAGACTGCTGAGTGGAAAGAGAGACTCATGAGTTGGCCTGGTGGGTTTTCGGAGACGTTATGGATCTGACTAAAATGGGTATGATACAGCTCCAGAACCCCAACCACCCCACTTCTCTGCTGCACAAGGCCAATCAGATGCGCTTAGCCGGCACGCTTTGCGATGTGGTCATCATGGTGGACAGCCAGGAGTTCCACGCTCACCGGACAGTGCTGGCCTGCACCAGCAAGATGTTCGAGATCCTCTTCCACCGCAACAGCCAGCATTACACCCTTGACTTTCTCTCACCAAAGACCTTCCAGCAGATCCTCGAGTATGCCTACACTGCCACGCTCCAGGCCAAAGTAGAAGACCTGGATGACCTGCTGTATGCTGCAGAGATATTAGAGATAGAGTACCTGGAAGAGCAATGCCTGAAGATCTTGGAGACCATCCAGTCTTCAGACGAGAATGATGCGGAGGTCAGCATGAACGATGGTGGCGGCGGCACAGAAGAGGACGAGGAGCGCAAGGGGAGGCACGGCAGGAGCGTCAAGAAGCATTCCATGGAGGAGAGCAGCTACGTGTCCGCCGCCCAGCAAGCACTGGCACTGTCCGGCATGGTGGACCAGAGCCCCTCCGTCTCCACCTCCTTCGGCCTCTCCACCATGAGCCCGACCAAAGCCGCCGTGGACAGTTTGATGAGCATCGGCCAGTCCCTCCTGCAGAGCGGCATGCAGCACGGTAGGACAGCACGACATGGATAAAATTCTCTACTGTACCGTTTAATCAAGGATGCAGATCTGACCGAACAATGATTCGATTCAATCCACATTACAATTCCTTAGGAATAGTCTCAAATTAAACCACAGTTTATTTGATTATTTTGCTAAAATTCTAATTTATATTTAAAAATACATTGAGCACTCAAATGTGACTGGAATAAGTTTTTACTCATAGTGGACTATAGACAATAAAAACAATACAGTTCAGATGTAATAAGTCGTTTACAAAGAACACATTTACACACATACAGAAGATAGCGTTGTCTAAAACCATCAAACCATACAATTTGAGAGAATGTAAAAGAGGAGAACACATTTCTTCTCTTTTAATGCCAGTTATTGTTTATTTGCTGATTTTTTTTTTTTAACATTTTGTGAAAAAGGAAAAAAATATAAAACATAAATTGTGGCCTGTTGCAAAAGTTATGGGACATTTTATAATTTCTTTTCTTTTTTTCCAGTTTATTAAACTCAGCAAGAAATAGAAACTGTTTCCAGTTTTCACAATAAAAATCAACAAACCATGTCATTTGACTAGGGGTGTTCAAACTTTTTTATATGACTGCATGCTAGCATTTCTCATTTTTTATATTTGAAGATACCCTGAGATTTTAATTTGACTAAAAATATGAGCACGTACATTTTGAATATTATAGTTCTAACATCCCTTCTTGCAGCATGTAAAAATACAGATAAACTCTTCATGTAACTTTGCTAAATATTGACCTGCACTATTTGACCAAAATTCTACACAATTTGGATGCCTTAGGTAATGGCATCACCCACAGATTATCTAAAATTGAATCGGATGTGCACAAAAAATAGTCAGTAGTATCTGAGCCTTCTACGATATCAATATTGTAAAGGCAAGAATTGTGATACCAACTAACAAACGATATATTGTGTAGCCTTACAGCATGGCGTGGGCGCCGATCAGCTGCAGGGCAACTCCCACCCCGCGATGACTGAGATCAAGACGGAGATGATGCAAGTGGACGAGAGTGGTGAGCACGGGAGCCCAAGACCTGCAGAGTCGGGCGGCTCTAGCAACGGAGAGGCAGACAGGAGCCGGGACGGGCCTGGGACGCCCACCCGGAGCAGTGTGATCACCAGTGCTCGCGAGCTGCACTACGTCCGTGAAGATGGGGGCGGAGACCCACAGGCTGAGGTGGGTCAGATGGGGCAGGAGGGTGTGGTGGGGATGACCGAAAAGCACCTAGCCTCTCTATATGGCATGCCGCCCAACCACAAGAATGAGGCCATGCTGTCCATGCCCTCCTCTATGGCCCCGTCCCTGCACATGGCACCGGCCCTGCCCATGTCCATGGACTTCAGTGCTTATGGTGGCCTTCTGCCACAGAGCTTCATCCAGAGGGAGTTCTTCAGCAAGCTGGGCGAGCTGGCGGCCAGCATGAAACCCGAGGGGCGTGGCGGCAGCCAGAGCGAGAGATGCAACGTGTGTGGTGCCGAACTGCCCGACAATGAGGCTGTGGAGCAGCACAGGTGAGTCCCTGGCTGTGGTTATCTTGTGAATTTTACAGCGGTGCCCAACTCCAGTCCCAGAGTCTCATGTTGGTCAGGCTTTGCGTTTGGCTCATGTTAAAATTCTACATTGTGAAATACACCTCTGAGAGTTTAGTTCCAAAGCACCTGCCGCTGGTATTCAGATATTCTTGAAAGTCTATTTAAGCCTGCTGGCAATTAAAGTTGCCACGGGTTATGCCTCTGTTTGCTCTTTTTTAAAAATCTAGAAGGTATTATACAGCTTTTCGAAGATTCACCCATGAAAGAATCTGCTTTTACAAAGGATTTTCATAGATTTAGGGAAAATAGATGTTTAAGTGGGTCACAGATACATTTATCTGTTTAAAATCACAAAGACGAATCTTGGGCACAGATAAGTCATCTGGATCAGCTGTATTAAAACTAAACTCCAGGACCGGAATCAAGCACCCCTGAACTAAATGTTTCACATCCTGTGACCTATTGTGGTGATGCCGAGTGTTTTGCATGTTGGATTCTTTGTTCGTAACTTTGTGTTTTGTGTGGGCGTCTGTTTGTGTTGAGTTGGCTGTTGTGGAGGCATTTTTTCAGGTGAAACATCTTTAATTTGGCACCTTGTTTTACTCAAGGGAAAGGTGCATGTAGTAGTTCGATGAGTTCAGTCATTGTTCCTTAGCGAAGCAAAGAAACGATACATGTTTTCAGAAATGTCTTGATTAAAGAGCTCAGTTTTGAGAAAAATGAAAATGATTTAGAATGATAGGCAGTGATTGCTTGTTTATTTTTTATGTTGGATGTCAGTTTCCTTTACTTTGTGCTGTGATGGATGCGAATGGAAATGAATGCATTACTGATTTAGCCTTGTATATCTTTCTTCTATGCAAAGTATAGGTTTCCACTTAGTGGAGGAAATTGATGTTCTGTAAACATAAATACTGTTATAATTTAGCAAAGCACTGAAGAAATAAGGTTAATTATGTTGGGTTTGGTGTATTTCATGCAGTATTCTAAGATGAGACAAGAATTTAGTGAATTCTCAAAGCTCTTCCATCATAAGTGGAGAGTTAAAGATGGTCTGAATTGCAATTGGAAAATTGCATATGAATTTATTCTTTTTTTTCTTTTTTTTTCCTGAGGGTTTTAAATACTTTAAACATGTTTTAATTTAGTGTCTACTTTTCAAATCTAAAAAGTAAATGAAGGGGAAAATTATTTAGTATTTAATAAATAAATGGGGAACTTCTGCATAATTCGTTGAGATGTAAACAAAGTCATTCTGAGAGGTTTGATGTGAAATGGTTCATTGTAGAGAAACTTACCAACTGCCTTTACAGTGTTGGTGATAGAAACCAGGGGTCTTGATGTCTACAACACAAATATAGCCATTTTCTTACTATCCAAAGTTTTTCTATGCAATACTAATAATGGTAGAAAAGGGGTGAATCTGATCTTTTTATTTTTGGGGGCAATTTTGCGTTACAGTGCCCTGCATCTATCTCTATACACTGAATGGATTAAATGTTTAATGTAGCCCAAAAGCTTATCATAAAACAGTATCTCCGACTTGGGCAGAATATTTGTAACCATTTCATGTAATAACACTTTAAACACTTTACGTGTGTGGTTCCTATCACCGCTTCTCTAGAGCAGAGCATTTTACATAAAACCACTCTGAATGACTTTTTTGACATCTTTGTTTGTGAAAAATCCCCTTGAAATATGGTTATGCAATTTAAGATACATTTAACAAATACAATATAGATCTATTCAACACGTGGTCAGTGCTTAGAGTACATTGGTAGTGAATAAAAGAGGTCAGAAAATGCTCCCTGTGCTGTTGATATCTTTGTGGTTATGTGTGTGGTAGTTGCTTGGCGGTGGCGTGCAGGCCCAGGGTGTGCTGATCATTTCCAGGCTTGCTCTGGTGGCTGCTGAGTGGTCCTGGGGAGGCGCTGGTTGGGCCCATTAGCCGCACCTGGGGAGGGGGCTGGCTAATGGGAAGCAGCCTCTACGCCCACCCCCTGACCCCCATGGTGTGGCCAGTGATGGGCAGGCCTGCCTGGGCCCCAGCCACCAGCCACAAGGAGGGCCTTATTAGCTTTATGAGAGGGGCAAACCGTCCAGCCCAGGAAATGAGGGCCGCACGCAGGACCTGGGCCGACCTCCACAGCGTAACCTTTTGGCCACTGCGCTGGCCTCTGCTTCTCGTCAGCGTAGCTGGAGGGGGTGTCACAGTGAGCAGGAACGAAGCGAGTAAATCCACCCCAGGCACACCAGGCTCTTGAAGCCCTCGCTGCATTCTTGCACCAAGTCACATTATGTTCCGATTCATACTGGCCAGTACATTGTCACTGTTGTAACTTGTGTCTTCAAAATGGTAACTTTTATAGAAGGGAAGTTCTCATACGTTAATGTACTTTAACTGTTTTCATTCCATGTCGTTTTGTATCATGTAGAGCAGTCCATTCATAATGAAATGTTTACACAGTGTAAAGGGCAGCAAACATTTTTTTCAATTGTGGGGGGTAAAAAAACACCTCACTCTCACACTATGGTAGCACTAGTTGCTTGTGATACCTATCGGATAAAAGGTTGGCAGGCTCTAAATTTTCATAAATGATTTTCCTTATAATTTGCTTGCATAAGCATGTGTTTCGCTGCCACTTGCTGACTGGATAGCATTTTTCAAACCTCTGTTTCAGTGGTTTCCTTGATTGTGTCAGTTGATACTAGTCATAGCTATTTTGACATTGCTCTAATCTGCTGGAATGCACGATGGTTAAAGTTCAGCTGAAGATTCGGTTTCAGGCCTCTCACAAATATTGACGTGTCTGGGAAAGAGGTCAAGATGACTTTAATAAACATCTCCAAATTGGCAAGGTGAAGACCAGCTTGTAGTTTTCTCACTCTCCATGATATTTAAACTTGTTGATGCTGAAAAGGGAATAGTTGACACGATCTTGTAATTTAAAAGTTGTCTGTACTCAGTGTGAATCATCATGAATCATTGAGCTGAGCTGGTTGGTAAAGACATGTCATGGTTTGCATTAAAAAAAGAAAGAAAAGTCATGGATAAATCAAATTGGTTTCCGTTTGGTAATGAATTACTGGAGCATATATTGCAGTACAGTTTAATGCTGCTAGTTTACAGTGTCTTATTGCTGTCTATAAAAACCAATACCTAGACTGTAGGTCTTGTTGTTGGCCTTATTTTATTATTTTGTTTTTCATCTCCTGGTTTAAAATTATTTTGTCACTGTTAGGTTTTCATGTTCTTGACACTTGAGTTGTTTTCTTATCAAAGAGAATGTGTTTCAGCAGCTATGACTGTTAAGCTTAACAATCAGCCAGCTTTTTTTTTTTAATTGCTCCTCTCTCTTATTTCTTGCCAGCAATATCAAGTAAAGACACCGATTGTAATTCGGTTCATTTTTTGAAGCCGGGTGCCTGTTTTGTTGTGTGACAGAGATGGCCGTGTTTGTGTTTTCTAAAGGCTCTTTAGAGGCTTGTACTCCTGACAGCTTGCAGCACACAGGGAGACGGGTCTTGTGAGTAATTACAGATTATTTCCCAGCATCTTGTGCCAGGGTCCCCCGCCATCTCTAGTTCCAAATGTGAAAAATATTTCTGTTTGAGAGGTCATTTGGTGCAAACGGGTCAAGTTAATTGGCTGTAATTGTTTCCAGACATGGCACGGGACTGGGCGCGCGTCTGTGTATGTGCGTATTGCAGCAAACGCATCAATAGCTAGTCACTTCCTGCGTGAATTCAGCTTGCTTCATTCATTGTCCAGTGCCCTGGGTTGTGTCAAAAAGCTGTGGACGGATGAACGAGATGTGTATTGATTCTGAAATGGAGGGGAGGGGCAAGGAGGCTACCCCTTGAAGTGGACCTCAGGAGTTTTGTGGAGGTATCGGAGAGATATATGACTGTGGGATACCCAAATGAAAGGGTTTGTTTGTTTTGCAGTCACCCACGGTTTCCTACAGGGGCTAAATCAAAGCTTGCTCTCAACAGCATAACAGCTTTTTTTTTTTCTTTCTTTCTTTCTTTCTTTCTTTCTTTCTGACCAGAGGCATATTTGACCAGCACTGATTTGTTTTACTAAGGAAAGAGAGGTTCGTGGTCCTGTGACTTCAGGGAGACGGGATTACAGAAATATTTTAGTAACCTGCCGATAAGAAAGTAATCAGCTTGCACAGAACAGCAATAATTCAGGCAAAAACGCATACACAAGAAAAGGGCTGTGCTTAGTATTCTGTACACGTTCCTCCAGACAGAGGGGTCACCTTAGGTCTGTCTTCTATACTTAATGTGTGGATGTCTAGCCTCGTACAAAGAGCTCATCCCATGTGAAAAGCAGAAAGCTTTGAGGATGGTATTATTTTTTTTATTGTCCAGCGTAGACAGCTTGCTTTGAGGTGTGCAGCTTAAGCCTCAGCTGCAGACAGGCCAGTAACAGGGCTGACCTGAACGCAGCTAGCTAGCGCATCTCTAGCGCCACGGCTAGCCTCAGTGTTTAAACAGGAGGCTGGCCTTATCTTTGCATATCAGAGGCACTGATAACCCTGCACTCTCCTCTCCAGTATACCAAGAGCAGATTGGGCCGATAAGCTCCATGGAGCTTGCGGGGTGAGATAACACCAGCGTCAGGCTGCAGCGAGGTGAGAGAGGCACCTCGCAACGTTCTGTGCGTGCTTCGCGAGCGCAGCTGAGCTTCACCACAAGCCACCAACGCTCACGCAACAGCCATAACAACTGTGACACCAAGTAGTGCCCCTCGAAGCCAGTGTCATTCTAAACAGTGCAGGTGAAGCTCAAACACTTGCTGTTGTCCAAAACTTTGGCTGTAAAACAGTGGCAAATGTGCTGTGTGGCTTATTGCAAAAGGTCGTTTCCTTTATTTTCACATTGGGTTAAGTTATATGGGCTGGACTGCATGTAAGCCTGACGGTTTTGTCACAAATTCTATGTGGCGTCATCTTTTAGTCAACCCATTT